CGCATAAACTGTATTAATTTGCCTTTATTTAGGGAGAAGTCGTTCTAAAACGCACTCACCTGAGCCCTTAAACATTTTAACGGTTTTCGTTTTACAAAACCTTTGCATTTTATCACATAATTTACATGAAATTTAATGTAGTTATATACAAATACTTGTAAGCATACATAAGTATATAAATATATTTCAATATAAATGTATATCTGTCTGTGGGTGTATTGCATGCTGAAACCAACGGCAATAATATTTTTGGGTTCGGCCCAAAGTTTTATGGATACGGGTTGGTTTATTTCCAACATTTTTTTCTATAAAATAAATTAAACTAAATGCTTAGAGTAGATAAAAGTTAGATATTCACAAAGTCCGCAATTTATTACTATGTATGTAGACTTAAGTAGATTTTAATTAATTAGAATGTGTTGAAGAAATAAAAAAAGAACCTTATTCAGAAAAATCTCTGAAATTATAGCTACATGTTTATCATTCAACAAATATATTCATATTTAAATCTTTAGTGACTTTGATTTCTATAAATTTTAAAAAAATATAGTAAAAAGTTAATTTTGGATCAAAGCAGATATTAATAACAAAGTGTATTTAAATCTAACGTCATAATTAATTTTGTCCCCTTTATAGTATATCAATTATTAAAATCAATTATTATACAACTATGCCATTGCATGAGCCAGTTCTCCATATATTTTTCGAAAGCTGATTAAGATATAGACTGTAACTTCTTTTGCGGTTTTTCTTTTATCTGTAATCAGTTCGAAACACCTTTTTCGAAATGGTAATATTACTTTCGGGGAAAAATACGTATCTTCTATATTCACTTATCTTCTTTCTACTTATAATGAAAATTACATTCATCTAGTAAATAAAGACCAATTTTTTTTCACAATTAGGAAATTAAGAACAATAAATAATTAAATAATAGGGTCTGTTTAGGGTGGTCCAACAAATCTGCTGACACTTAAGTTGTGATGAAGACTTAAAGCTTAATTAACTTAACTATGTTAAGCTGAACTTAACTAGCGTTTAGTAAGGTTTTTTAAAATACAGTCAAACTTCCATAACTCGAAGTTCAAATTTGCAAAGAAAAGATTCGACTTATGGAGACTTCGAGTTAGAGAATTTTTTTTTTGTTTTTTGAAGAACCTAGAATTACATTTTAAGATATTTATATATTTGCAATCAAATAGAACACAGAAGTTATAGTGAAGTAAAATATTCAGATATTAGGGTTTTGGACTTTAATTTTTTTTTGTTGGTTTTAGTAAAAAATGATTCTACTTTATTCGTACTCTTATCATTATCAGTTGTAGTATCATTCGTTTGCAAATATAAATTCGGAATTTTGAATGAGTCTTCTACTTCATTCTTGGAAGGCTGATAAACAATTACATCCACCGAACCCACCGCTATAGTGCTTAATAATATCGTTATCGGTAGGAAAGCTTGATGTACAAATTTCATTATCAATCTCAATATACCATAATCCTTAAAAGAAGCATTGGAAGTTATTTTATTTACTTTAAACCACGCTGCCAGCGATTGGCATTTGCACAAAGAAGCAATATAAGAAAGAAAAAATTAAACATTTGATTTGGAAAAAGGGACCTCCCCTAACAGCAAAATGTATTTATACTTAAAACAAATTTTCGACTTATAGAATGCATATTCCTATCGGCACGGAACAAAATCTTTGTTCGAGATATAGAGAAATTCGAGTTATGGAAGCAGAATTGTATGTAATTTGCTTTCTAAAACCAATGTGAACTGTTTTTGGTTCGAGTTATAGAAGTTTGACTGTATATTCATCCGAAAATTTCCGAATATTTTGTGCACTTAATATTTGTATAAGTCGTGCAAAATAATAATAATAATCACCTTAGCTCTTTGATTACTTTCGAATTGGTGGAAAGAGTGCGTCTATTGGTCACCTACGGCATCTTATATCAGTTGTTTTGATAGATTTTTTCCGTGATGCATTGTAACAGTGTCTTAACACTATATTTGAGCGAAAGCCATGAAAGACTATTGTGTAACTATTGTTCGGAAAAGAGCTGCTTCGACAATAAAAGTCGTTCGAAAAACTTCGATTTTTCATTTATAAAGAAAAATAAATGTCTGCTCATTCGAACATATAAAAATCAACTATATAACAAATACCCACAAAGAAATTTAAAGTGAATTTTATAATGTCTTACTTAACAAATGGTTCATCAGCGACGTCAAATATTACGTTATCTGATAGTGTGATGATAAGAGACATTATGACGGTCTGAGTAATATTTACAAAAGGTGCTTAAAAGCACTTTTCAATAAGTTTCTGTATCGTCACAGAAAACATTCAACTCTTCAGGGGAGGCTAAAAGATAATGAACTACACTTTATTTCGATTTAAAAAGTCTTCGCGGGTTCTTAGCTTCTAAAATTTTGCATTTTATAGATCAAGGTCAATACTTTAATATATCAGAGTGTTATTGAGCTGAGAAAAGCATCCATTTTCGTGAACGGATGAAAATTTCACAATTTCAGATACATGCAGTGTCCAACTTGTTTGACGATTGAATTAGAGAAATAGTTAGCGTAAATGGTAGTCGAGTATCGAAAATTCGAAATAAATTCAAAATATTTTGTCTTCTTTTTTCTTAATCAATAATATTTAATTTCAAATATAAAATACAGTTCTGAAAAGCTGCAGTTAAATATTAGTCGCATAAGCGACTTTTTGTCGTTTGATCTATAAACTTTTAAAATAAATAAAAATAATTATAAAGTATATTGTAATTTACATTCTTATACAAGAATCTAAGAATGAAAGTAACTTGTACGCTAACATAGTGTACTATGTTACTATGTCCAAAACACATCAATAAATGTTTAATGTTTGGTTCACGAACGCAAACATAAACACAAACAGGACACTAAAAATGTAAACGATATATACGAAGCACTAAAATAGTGTAAGATGTCGTTATTTAAAATTTTTAGTGTTTTTGTTAGTCTTGTTTTCGTCCATTACGAACGTAATGAATCTTATAACGATCTTTTTACGAATGTAGTGAACTTTTTACTGTTCACTAATCAGTATAATATTTTAATGTATTTTAGTTTTCGTCGAATAAATGATTTTAGAAAGGTTTTTGTTGTTGCGTGTACGTAAGTAGAAAAAAAGTGTTAATATGTGTAATGCATATAATTTGGTCTATATTCTTATAATTTATATAGGCATTTTTTGATACTGAATTAAGTTATATATTACAAATAATACACATTATTTATTACACATTATTTGACTTTTTTTGAAAATCTTTTATAGTATTGTTCGTATAGTGTTTTTTAAATAAAAATACTTGCAATTTCAAAAAAAAAAAAAAATTAAAATTAAATAAGTATAATATTTCTACAATATATCACTTTCAATATATCAGCCGAAAATTCAATTAATTAAAAATAATACAATTTTGTTGTTGCAATTCAATACTATTCGAAAAAATTTTTCTACTTAAATAATAGTTATTTTTATCATAACTGACTTTAAAAATCAAATTTAATATAAAAGTATGAAGAAGTATACTATATATTGATCGGTCACTGTAGATTGCATAATCACCGAAATTAGAAGTTAGGAATTTAATCCAACTCAGACTGCAGATACTGTAAAGAAGACAGAGAAAATGCATATTATGTGCTTGGGGAGTGTCCGGAACTGATGCACAAGCGGAACAAACACCTATGCGGGTATTTCATGGATCATAAGGACCCAAGACTCTATACTGTCTTTCATTAAAGAAATCGGACTACTACACTCTAACACTCTAATCCGACTAAGGGGCACAATAGTCCTTTAGGTCGCAGTGCACTATTCCTTTTTTTCAATAATAACAATACTATATACATTCTGTACGATATAGTATTGCCGTTCACTGATAATAATAATGAACTTAAATTTCGATATTTTAGTTGAAAATATTTAAATAATGTTTATAATGAATTTCAATATTGAAATACGTAGTTTACATATATTCTTTTCCTAATCCTGCTGTGATATTAAAGTTCTAGTACTAATTTTTTATGTGTACTATAGTAAATAAAATTTGCTTTAAAATTACAGTTGTGATACGCATTTTCTCTGGGCAATATTGAGTAATATAACTGATAACTCAATTTTAAAATACCATTTATAGCATAACCTTACTTTCTTTTGAAGAAAAATTAACTTTTCAAATAGTTCCCAACGAAACGTATTGCATTTAATGGTTTATTTAAGTTCTTAAATAAAACAACCTTAACAATTGACAATGTTTTAATGACCATAACCACAGAACTACCATTAGACATCATACATCCCAACACTTCACCCCACAAAAAGTGGGAGGAAGCACACATCTGTACATAATTTAGCTGGATTAATGTCTTGTGTTTCTTAAGCTCCTCGGGGCACACCCACCACACTTTGACTTCCATTCCGTTCACAGTCGCATTTCTGCAAAATATTTTCGCAGTGAAATATCTATGGAATTTTCATGTTTGGAAGAAGGGTGGCTGCTTTATGTTCCCCATTGCATTGTTAGGACAGTTGCGTGTTGAATTACATGCCGATTTTGCACAAAATATGTTACTTTATTTTCAACCCAACTTGTAGTTGCAGCAGTGAGGTAAATCGACATTTCATATAGATTAACTGAACATTAGTGAATATCTATCCATTGAAGTATCTGTGTCGATACAAATGTTTGTTTGCAAATGTTTATTGTTTACTGGTATGTATGTTGTGCTTGTATTGGAAGTTTGTTTGGTTCATAGAATTACAAATATTTAGCAAATATTGTAGGTAAATGCACATATACATGTGGTATTTGTACAAAGGAAATTTATTTACGAAAACATATCTAAACATTCTCATTTTGTAAAAAAAAGAACGGTTTAAACGGGTTTTATTTGTTTGTTGTTTGTGTTTGTTTGGCGTTTCCATTGCTACATTTTATACTCACGTTGTTAACTTTATCCTGCAATCGTAGCAGTGCTTCTTCAAGTTCAACAATCCGACCTTCCAGAATCTCCTGTGGAGAAATTGCAAAAAGCACGAAATGGATAAAAAAAAATCAATTAAATAAAAAAAGATTTTAAATAAAATTTAAATGTGAACTACAATGCATAAAGCGAATACTAAAGTGCCATCTGATGCAAAACCAATTTAATTACGAGGGTAAACACTTAGATTCTGTTGATTAACACATATTCTCGATGCTGTCAAAGGCGATTTAAGCTTTGCAAATGTTAATATATACAAAAATCGTAATTAAAGATACTTTAACGTGTACGCTTTTCACCTTAGTCATACAACAGAACTTAAGTTAGTACCCTCGTACGCTGAAATAGTTAGGGAATAAATGAATAATATGGGTATGCAGTTTACTGAAAATGATGTAGAATAATGTGCAGTATTAATAGTTTATATCTTATTTACAAAAAGCGTATTTACAAATATATAATTGATCAATACTTAAAGCAAAATATGAGTTAAATGGTTTAGATACCATTTTTAAAGTTTAAGAAAATGATTAATTTGAAGCAAAAATTTCTTGTACGGAAAACTGAATAATTTGTAAGCGTAAAATAAATTAATTTTTAGCGTTTTTTGTTGGCTTTTTTTCTGTTGTAAGTGAATTAAAAATCTATTAATCTCCAAAAAAAAATTACTTAGCGTAACTGGGACGCCTGCAGCGGGCTTGCATTGTATTAACACGAATAGAAGTCATTAATCTTGTTGAAGTTGAACGTGGAAAAAATTAAAATTGCATAAATATATCGGACGCTACGGTACAGGTGGATACCAAAAATACAGGCAACTTACTAGCAAAATTTTATGCACATCAGTACCTGTTTTTTGATTTATGATTTTTTTTATGAAGTAGTATGCTTAATGAAACTATGATTTTATAATGCAGTCCATTACTACATAAGTAATGTATTGCCCTCTTTTTCTGCTTTAGGAAACCACACAAATTAGCATTTACTTCTAGTTTACAGTTATATAAATATATAAATAATATTAGTTGTATTGTTACAGAATTACTTTTAAGCTTTTACCTTAGTTTGAATCTAAATTAAAATTAAATATGAAATTTATATAAAAAAGAATCATTAAGAGTTACCAGTAAAAGTAAAAGTTTATTAATCATTTTTGAAAAGGATTTGTGAATTACTACTTAAACCTGCTACTTAAGCTTAGAACTGAGGCCCTATGCTCCAAAGGGAGATATAGGAATTGGTGATGATGATGAAAGACTTGTTTAACTGGAAAGTTTTATAAATATATAGGGGTACATATATAACTTCTACCGTCTTAATGTCAACCTCTATCATTCCTATTGTGTAGCTTGATTCTACTAATGAAGCTGTGACAACTGTGATTCGATAGTTGTAGAGATCGTAGAGATCGATATTTAATTTTTCGTCAAATGTAACATAACGCGTCTTTCATATATATAACTGTGTTGTTTAGTTAATCGCAGGAAGATTTGATAGTGTATATGCTAATTTTAAATTAAAGCATTTTAAAGCAATAAGTAATATTCGAAATATAAATGATAGTTATAATTAAGCAATGTCTAAAAAAAAATTGATAAGTATATCTTATAGAACATAAGTACCATATGTCTTTCAACGCAAAATTTTTATAATTTTTACAAATTTTATTTTTTAATGAATAAGTGTCTCAATTAACTCAAATGAACTATATTTAAATCTACTTAAAGTAAAATACATATATATAAAAAAGCTTCATCAGCTTAACAGAAAGAGAATGAAGAAATAAACTTTAAGCTAGATTAGGGACGTAGGAGCGGGTTCCGCTTTGGATTTTTTTAAACTGAAGAAATCGTTTTGTTCTTTTTCGATCATCAAAATGAGATAACCAAAAAATAATGAGTTATGTTAAGTACTCGATAGTATTTCAATTGAATATTCAAATATATCATCTGACTCGTTTTAAAGGATAAAAGCATTCTTATCAACTATTTTAATATATTTCCAACCTATAGATTATATAAATTTAAACACAATTATTGAAATGATAGCAAAATGTTGGTTAAATAGTTTCAATAACCAATATTATCTTAAGTTTGTTATTGTGGTTATTGACTGATCAGATGCACGCTGCATGTGTACTATACTACGGCTTACTTTTCATGGTTCAAGTCCCACGGCTAAAAAAACACGTTCTAAAAAATACGTGGCTTTAACTCAGAAGTAGAAGCTCAAGCATTTGTTGAATTCATAAAAGTATGTACTACAATATCTGCATAGAATTTCAGCACTAGCTGTTATGCCCAGGTACCAATAGGTTCACTGTACAAAAGGTTAGATAAGGTTTAAGATTAACCTTCTATTATGTTAATCTGTATTTTATCTACCCTATGTGGTCTTCAATATTGCATACTTAGAGAGTATATATTCAAAGATCTTATAAAAAGAAAATAGTTTCTTCAGATAATTTTGAATGAAATGTGTTGACCACTATAGAAATTATTTGCGCGTAAACATTGAGGGATATTAGTATAAAATTTGTAACCTAGGTTTCAAATAAATAGTGATGCATATATCTATCATCATTGAAAATTCTATGCCTTACTGGCACAATCATAAATGATAATAACGATGTCAGTCAAAAAATCTAAGGAATAATTGCTATTATCAATATGGCTCAGTAGATAGTTAAAATCCAGAGCTTTTAGTTGTCCAATAAAGTTTATACATCGTGTATAATATTTATTCTATATTTTATTCTATATTATTTTATAAAAAGTTAAAGTAAAATGAAAAATAGGAGAAATAGAAATCAGCACTGGTAAGTGTATTCAAGAAAAATTCTTAGCTATTATATACCATTCAGATCTTTAAGGATTGGCGTTAATAATTACATATAAATGATCATATGCTTTGTGAGTTTTAGCACGATATTGACATTGCTTGGTGAATTGATATTCAATGACTTCAGTAACATATGTGTAATATGTATAATATATAATATTATTCTGGTAGAAAACATAATTGGTGATTTAGAGATAATTATTTAAAGGGTGTATGGGTCGGTCAGTAAATCCAGTATATTCTTATGGGTCATGTTAATGAAATTGTTAGATATTTTTTTCAATTAAGATGGGCTTCCTGGCGTGTAGATGTCTCTATATGATCAATACAATGAAAAGTGAATAATAGTTGCCAATTAATAGAGTTATGTCGCTTATTTAGAGATAATGATTTAAATGGTGTATGGGTCAGTAAAACCTATACCTATATTCTTATGAGTCATGTTAGTGAAATTGTTAGATATTTTTTTCAATTAAGATGGGCTTCCTGGGGTGTAGATGTCTCTATATGGTCGACACAATGAAAAGTGAATCATAGTTGCCAATTAATAGAGGTATGTCGCTTATTCTTTATTTCGGTCTTATTATAACATAGGACATATTTTGAATGAGTAGTAGATCTGAGTGATAACCTGTAGTTGTATTGTAAGTTTATACTACCCATCTTGTTTTTGCGGAACTCTTTTAATTTGTAGTGCTCCAATAACTAGGTCATTAATAAGTGTAAAGTTGTCAACTTTTTTGTGATAATTAAAGTCTTATGTATACATTTTATTTTGTTTATTGAAAGTTCCGTAGTTACTTTTTACTATATTACTGCTAGGCATTTTAATTTCCTGTGAACAGTTTTGAACTTTTTTTTAACACATAATAATGTAAACCTTAAATATTGATTTTTTATTCAAATCGTATGTAAGTTGTGGTTGCCATTACATCCCATCAACACATATAAAACACGGAGAGAAAATCGCACAAATAAACAGACATTGTTTCATACTCACTACGAAAATAAAAACTATATGAAACTACATTAAAATAATAAATAAAATTTATTGTTAATTCTTTTTTTCAGTTTGCATATCGAAGTTTGTTGCACATATGTGAGCTAAAAAACTGCAAATGTTGCAAATTAAAAAGTAAATAAATTATTCGACGTTCATTGAACTTTTTTTACAATCATGATGTGAGACCGCAACTGCGGCAACCACGCAATTGAACGTGAAGAACGTGATTGCATTCTGGGTATACGGATGCAGTTTAGCTGCGCTATTATTGACTAAGCTCCACAAGCTCTATTGGGATGTGCTAGCAGCAGTGCATTGTGCTGTTTGACATTCCAATTTCAGTGGCATTCAGCATATACGGTTGATAATTATGGTAACAATACCAACTTTAATCTTAATAGACTCACATATGTGTACAGGTTTCCGTTTGCCATGGAGACTGTAGAGGTGTCTGTATTCGTCATAGTCGTCATGACGACTATGTGCATATGAGTTTCTTAGGACTTATGAGTTTCGATGTATGGTATATATATGATTGATGTTCAAAAATTACATTACATAGTAAATTTCAAAAATCGAATTTATAGTCATGTCATCATTCGACTGTGTTAGAATACTTGTAACTCTAATTGTATTGTCCTAATGTGTAGGCCATTACTCCTAGGTACGTGTTTTTATGTACACTGACTTTAAGTTAGAAAATAAAATTGAATAATAAATTAAAAAATCCGTTAGTATTGATGTTCCTGTGGTTTAAAAAGACATCACTCCATGATTTCTGATTACATTCAACCGGTTAAGGTAAGCCATAAATGTCACAAATGTACTCAAACAAGATATGTTTAGCGCTTGCAAATAGAATTTATTGAAGAAAATAGCTAAAAAATCAGATAAACGTAGTCTCTTAACGGCATAATCACAACAGCACAGCGGAGCTGTGCTGCAGTTGGTGACATTAGCGACTATGTACTTGAAATTCAACGTTTCAATTGAAATATTGTTACATATACAGCAGTTGTATTGACAACAAGAACCACTTACTAACATAGAAATGGTTTCAATGTAAGATCATAATTCACCGTAAACACCGTAAACACCGTAAACACCGTATATGTTATGAAAGCTGGTATCAACTGAGATACACAAGAAAATCAATTGTATTAAGTTTAAAATAAAAATAAATAAATAACTATTTGAAGGTTGGATTAGTATTTACTGGTTTGCATAACATTACTCTCTAAGTTCAAAATTGTCGTTTGTTTCGGATATAACCTCAATGTTGGAGCATGTTTTGAAGATCTGCGAGTAGATAGTAGTTCTTGGGGTAAAATTTGTTAAATAAAATGGGTAAGGAAACGAATCAAAGTATAATACAACCAATTTAGTGGTACGTTTCCAATTTTTGGGGCACTGAGATAAGTTATTATTCTGACCACCTTTTTACATTATGCTAAATAGCGATATCACTGAATTCTTGAACTATTATGTTTAAAATTTTTGTATATATTAAATGTAAACAGTAGATGTGGTAGTTGTAGCTAGATAGTGTGGATAGTTTTTTTTTTGTTAGTACCTATATTTAATGTGAAAATTGTACAACTTTAATATTCAATATATCACGAACTAGGTTAGTAAATGAAATTACTCAGAGTATTGACATTTTCAAATTCCGAATATCGGAAATCACTATAGCCGGAGAAATTCGTTACTTTCATTTTGCTAATTATAGCCAATGACTTTTATCTGAGTGCTTCTTCTTTACTCCTTAGAGAAATAGTATATTTAAGCCTCAAATATCGTGTAACATTTTATTAAATAGTTACTTATTAGTTTTTGGTTAAAGTTTCATTTTTGGAAATACTTTTTTTTTATGTCGTTATTTTGATTAGATTTTAATTTAATAATTTAAAGCAATAAAACAATATTTTTTATTAAACACAAAAATTTAAATATAGAAAAATTAATGATGGTAGAGTTTTTATGGTGTTTAATATAGAATTAAGTAATTTTTTGTCTAGATAAAATTAAGAAGAAATATATTAATGCAAATGTCCATTTAAGTCATTTTATTGACTGAAAGCTCTTGCTGCCTATTATTCTGTGTTATATAGATAAATAAATAAATTTCATTTTAGTAGGAAGCAGTATTAGTACTGAAAGAAGCAATAGTAACTAGTAACCTTTGAAATCTATACTACTCGTTGTGTGATGTCGGTCGAAACAGGTCATCGTAAGTTTTCACACTATGTCAAGTTTTTAAAAATTGCTATAATTTCAAAACATTGATTGAAAAAAAATTAATTCCGAAAAAGATTTTTTATCCACACTTGTCATAACGTAATACTTATTAACATCTTAAGTATTATATATGTGATAGCAAAAAAAAACATCCCAAACTGCGTTAAAAGTGCGATATAGGTCTGTCGGCACTTGGATGTTATAAAAACAGATAAATCAAATACTAGTTAACATCTTAAGTATTATATATGTGTTAGCAAAAATGTTTCTAAAAACATTCTAAACTATGTTAATAAGGATCATATAGGCCGACAGACCTATAAGGATGTTATAAAAACAACAGATGAAACAAATAAAGTACTAAGCAGTTGAGCTATAGCTTAGAATAAATCATTTTAAAACTAAATATTCGTTGTAGAAAATATCTTCAACGCTTTGAAACGTTGAAGGAATTTAAAATATCTTGAAATGTTGATGAAAACACATCAAGGCAATATATGAACGAATGAAGGCAGTTATTGCAAATTTCAAACTTTTCTTGTCTAAAATTATATTATATATTATAAAATACACATGTACAAAACTCATCTTTACTTAAAGATGAGAATTCTGGGAAGTGATAACGGCGCGCATCTGGTAAAATACAAAATCTACGGCATTCTATAAGAGGCTGGTGGGTTATTTTAAGGTCAGAACAACGCCAAAAGATATATGAATACCATTCCATAAGATGTTCCGGACACATAGTAAGTAAGTATGCGAGTCAAAAAAGCAAAGGAAAAAAATTTGGTTGAAAGTAATATTTACAGATTTAAGAACGCTGGGTATATAGAAGAAGAGGACGTTGTTAAATAAGTTTCTTTAGAGAAAAGTGATTGAGGAAGCACTGATATATTTTGACTATTATGTCTAAGGAGAAAATATATTATTTTTATTGGCGAAGAGATAGAACAAGAAATTTTAAACTTAGATTAAAGCTTGATAGAAATTTAAACTTTGTAGTAAAAACGGAAATTTTTAAAGACTATTATATATGTTTTTAAAAGGGAATTTATATTATATAGACAAATGGTATATAAAATAATAGTACAATTGAAATTCAGATAAGTTGGTAATTAAATTTAGAAGTTGAAATTTGTCTAGCATGGTAAACTAATAAAATATAACCAATTAGATATATTTTTAAAATATTATATATAATCCTACATATGTAATATATTTATTAAAAATGGATATAAACTATATGGAAATTTAAAGCAGTGAATGTTTTATGTAGGAAAGATTTAAGCTATATAAGATTATATAAAATGATATACTATGTATATTTGGATTAAATTGTAGCAATGAAATGTATATGAAATGATATTATATATAAACTGAAAGCATAAATGATGTTATATAGTACTATTAACTACACTTAAAATACATAATTTTATATGTATATCAGGAAATGTTTCCAGGTACCTTTTATGTCTAAGTAAGAGCACTACTACATTGCGCTACTTTATACGTATGTATTATTTACTCCATAACCGTTATAATTATAAAAACTCCATTACTTTTATTATTTTTTATACATTTTTATATAAACACTTACTTTATCCTTTTTCGTTTGCGCATCGTTGGCTTCGCTTTCTAAAGATGTTGGCTGGTGCACAAGCTGGATTTTGCCTTGGGAAATTTTTATGTAATTTGTTGGCGGTGTGAACGTGTGAACATCGTCTTTGTCGTCGTCTTCGCATTCCTTGATGTCGAGGTGTCTGCAATGAGTAAATAAAACAAATTGTCTCTAAATTAATAATTCATGTGCCATAAAAAATAGGAAAAGTGAAATATTTGATGTTTAATTTGATGGAAAATTTAGTGATTTACATACATACAGTAGTTGTCATATTGTGAATTCTAGATAAATCAAAAAAAATTGAAATATGGCTAAAGAAAGTTTATAAAATGCAACTAATAATATATAACGTTGGTCATCGTTATAACAATTTTATTACACGAAAGTTTTTTAATTTTAAATATAAATGAGATACTAATGATGTAGATTAATTACTCATAACTAAATTAACTCCTAACAAGCTCATACTCTCAATACGTCAGACATTATATATCTTTCACATTAATATTATTTTGTTCCTGTAGCATTAAAGCTTGTGTAACATATAACTTTTTTTTTTAAACCGTGAAAGAGAATTAATGAGCGCTGTTCGCGGACGTTCAAGACGAGCGGTTCTATGATGTGGATCCCGATGCTTCAATAACCTGACTTACTCATTTATTGCCAATTGTTTTGCATTGTTCTTATAATTTCTGAAGCTGAGCAAGGAACTCTAAGGGACATTTTCTTATCAAGTCCGATTAGTTTCAGGAAGTCAAAGTTCCATGTTCAAAACCATCTAAATATTATGAAACTCAAATCTTTTTATTCATTAATATATATATATATATATTTAAGTGTGAGTTTTGAGTGTATATGATCATATTACTCATAATTCCAAAAAATCGTCTTAACACTACTGATCAGTGAACTATTAAAGTAAGAAACACTACTGATCAGTGAACTATTAAAGTAAGAAACGATATGAACTTCAGGTAAGTTTGAAGTTTTAATAGTTGCACATACAGTGAACTTCTATATGAACTCCTAATCTGTGTGTAAGTATTTGGTTAAAGCAATATAAATCGGAATGTGTTCTCGAATAGACATCACAAAAGTATAGTACTTATTTGGTTTGCAGGTTATAGTAATATGATTGGAAATAGTTTTTTAGGATGGGTGCCGATTTGAAAAATTCAATACGATCTTATTTATGTTCTTAGCTCATAATGAACATTAATGAATTAAACATTCATATACAAGGTGAGATGAAAAAACTGCAACAAAGTAAAACGCCATAATTTTTTCATTTTTTTTAAATTTTATTGAATGAAAGCAAAAAATGTCGGAAATAACATCAAATTTGAGAATCGGTTTAGATTTGTTCGAATTGGCCACCTTTGGCACGAACTATGGCCTTCAAACGGCCAATGAAACCATCACACGCTGCCCGAAAGTGGCTCTGCGGTATTTTGTCCCATTCTCGGCGAAGCGCTTGCTTGAGATGATCGACACTTTGGTATTTTTTAGTTCCAACCTTGCTTTCCAAAATACCCCAGGCACAATAGTCCAACGGATTGGCATCCGGAGATTTTGGTGGCCATTGTGCGGTGGAAATGAAGCGAGGAACCTCATTTCTTAACCATTCTTGGATGGCGCGTGCTGAGTGCGATGGTGCTGAGTCCTGTTGGAATGTCCAAGGTCTGCGGCCGAAATGTTTGCGTGCCCAGGGCTTCAGAACTCCCTCCAAAATATTTTCGCGATAGATTTGCGCATTTAATTTGACACCACGGTCGATGAATACGAGCGGCGAGCGACCATCGGCTGTTATGGCGGCCCACACCATCACCATGGCCGGCTTTTGAGTTGTGATGGCCAACCGAAGTTGCAAATTTTCAGCTGACCTCTCTGGCAAGTAAACACGATCATTTTGTTTGTTTACAAACTGCTGGATAACGAATGGTTTCTCATCGGAGAAAACCAAATTCGGCAGTTCACCACTTTCGGCCAAGCGAAACAACTCTTTAGCTTTTTCGAGTCTAACTTTTTTTTGCGCATCAGTAAGATCTTGCACTTTTTGGAACTTGAATGGCTTTAGTCCAAGCTCATTTTTCAATATTTGCCGAATGGCATATTGCGATATGTTCAGCTCACGAGCCATTTTTCGTCCACTGCGACGCGGATTTCGTTCAATTCGCTTTTTCACTTTTCGAACCATTTCTGCCGATGTTGCTGTTTTTTTTCGTCCACTTCCTTGACGTCGGGCTACGCTACCAGTATCATGGTAACGAGCGATGGTACGAGACACAAAACATTTATTCACTTCTAAATGCTGGAGGGCTCTAACGATAGCCACTTGTGGTTTTCCAGCCAAATGCAAAGCAATCACACTATCACGCTTGAATTCCATCACAAATAACTTTTTTTTTGAAAAATTCCCACCAAAATGCTTTTGTGCGCTTGTAAACAATATAATGAGCTGTCACTAGAATAAATCTGACAGCTGTGGGACGAGCGGTTTAGAAATGACAGCAGTCTGAAGTTGGTTGCAGTTTTTTCATCTCACCTTGTATATAGCTGAAGGCTATATAACTTTAGATGAAGGCAATATGCTGTCATCTAACGGTTATTTACCTTTAGCATCGTTTAAATAGCAATTAAGCAAATAACTCAAAGTCAGGAAAAAGAATAACTTTGCAAAGTTGCCAGATTCATTTGACCGCGATTGGAATAAAAATGCTTCATCAATTTTAAGTATGGCTTCCGCTTCAGTATGGTCTCGAGTATAGAATGATATCTAAAAGTTGTAACTAAGCATTTTAAACTGTTTAATGACGGCAAGGACATAAATAACTATGTGCCTGTGTCGTTTTTATATTCTTAGGATTTAACAATCTTCATCACATGTGGATTTACATTCAAAAATTGTGAGTTTTTGGAAAATGCAAGTAATCGAAGACGCTTTGTGAATAGCGAGTAAATAAGTATTTTATGAGTAATCAAAGAAATTTAAATGCGATTTAAATATCTACAATAACAACTAAAAATAATTATTGTTTTGTTTATTACTCTCCTTGCAATTATTCTATGGGTTATGCCATCTATAACTAAATGGTTGTTTGAGTTCTAAGCAAAATATTGTATTTAAATATGCAGGAAACGAATAGATTTCGAATACATAGAAATCTATTCGAATACTTGTGTCAAAAAAGAAGTGATCGGAATCATGTTGTATGTAGCTTTTACGCTTGCATAAATTCGTTTGTGGTATTTTCATGTATCATATTTGTGACAACTTAAATTAGAATTTGTTAAGTTCTAGAAACATTTTTTTTGCAGTAATATTTTAATTATCTATTCTTTCTAATGAATTGTTGCTACTTTATTAAAACAATTGCTCTATATTAGCTTACATTATTATCATTCCTTTTTTAAAACTGTAACATTATCAATAAAAAATAATACAAGCTATGTTGGTTCACACGCTTGACTCACTATCTCAGAGGAAGTCGTTTTGACATCCCCACATAATTTAAAGAAAAATCTCTAATCGTATAGCAGTACCCACCCAATTTAAGACAATAACATCGATCTGATTTAAACATATGAAAATTTAAAAACTTGAAAATAATAAAAGAGTTAAAATCGATTGGATTTACCTATGAAAATATTGCACTTCAAACAACAAAAAGAGGGGGAATATCAGCCGAAAATATGTAATTCGACAACACGATATCTTTTGAATTGCAGTCGAGGCGTAGCTTTTAAATTAAATTTTCGGAATTATCGTAAGTGCAAATAATTTAATAAATTGCCTTTTGGAGAGACACCTGAGTGGGCATACGAGCCAGCTTGGCTCTTAAAATTAAAGTGGTTGGTTGTGTCTGCCAACAAATCTTGTTTGTCAAAAATCTCATCCTAATCGCAAATGTTACACGCTTGTTTCTTAATGGTTTGAGTGTTGACACTTGGTAAGTGGGTTTCTATATCTACGAAAATTGAATAGATATGCACACAAAACATTTGCTCTTTTTTTGTTTTTTTGTTATTTTCTATCTTTTTCAAATATTTTGAACAATTTTTAGACATTGTGGCAATGTACCGAAATTGTAAATTAAATTGTATTAAAAAATAAAAAAAAAAATATTAGGTTACATTTGTTCAAAGTTAAAACGTACAAAATTATATAAATATTTGCGATTTTTATTTTATTATTTTATTTTTCTTTAAAACGTGTTTTTGCGTTAGAATGTTTATTTGTTTTTTTTTTTCTGGGTAGCAAATACTAAGTTAGAGCTTTAATACGTGCTCGAGATAATGTTACTTCAAGACAGGTTTGGTTACAAAAAATTCTATTAAAAAAAGATGTTGAGAACTGAAAATTGAAAAATTTTAAACAAAATCGTGTCATTTTAGAGTTATTGTTTTTGACAAGAACTATCACAGTGGATGGAACGACACATGGGTGTTCCATTAAAAATTTTGCATAAATGGTTAATGGTAAGTCACTGGAAGTCATTGAAAACATATTCTCAGAAAAGAGCTTTGACTGTTTTTAATTGTTTACTAATAGTGTAAGATAATTTCAATCTAAAACTAAACATTATATGTTATTTACTACAAAGGCAAGGATGTATATTGCATGGTAATATTATTGGGTAATATAAGAAGTACTCGTTTTTGATGACGTTGGTACCCAAATATTTAGGAACACTAATCCGATTTTCCGATTACAAGAATAAATGTTCAAAAGGTGATACGAGTATTTTAAACTACATTTTTATAGTTGGGTATTCGCTCTTGCGAAACGTAACATATGTATATTGATTGGAAAATAAGTGCTAGTATTTAGTACTTTACTTTACTTTACTTTAAATACTTTATATTATTATAAAATAGAGGAAACTGATTTGAAATCATTACAATGTAAGTAAATATCCCATCCTGCAGTAGTTTGACAGCTTCTGTTCCGAAAATTTCGATGTCAAAATGCATCTCGCTATGGTTAGTCAGCCACTAAAAAGCTAATGAAATTTTACAATTGGTGAAGTAAGAACAATGCAAGTTATCAGGAGGTAGTGGAGGCACTAAACATCAGCCACATTAAAGTTTGGAATTATTTAAAATAAGCAGGCTACGCAAAGATCCAACAAAATCGAA